AAACAGCCACTCTGGTGACCTGTGGGGCTTCTCTGCCTGGGAATCTCCTGGTCTGTAGGCAATAAAAATCTGTCTGTAAATGCTGCATGCATTCACCCTCCAGGCTTTTGCTGGGAGTGGCAATCCTGAGCTGCTCCTAATTGGTCATTTTGGATCTCCCCCCAAATTCTTTAAATTCTTAATCCATTTGGAATTGCCTCTTACTTCTCTGAGTGTATCTTCTTTGCCTTCTTTTTGAACAATTAAATGTTTAAATTGCTCAAAATTTTATCTTAATCTCCCTTCCTTTTGTATGCGTGGAGTCATAAACTTGAGTACTTACATGGGCCAGGAGAAAATATTAGTGAGTTAAGCAAAAAAGGTGGAAACTGGTGAACTAGAGGAGTAGAGGCCTCAACTGAAAGGAGTAGCCATTACTCCATTAGCTCTGCCTCAAGGGCTGGCAAGCTTTTTATGTAAAGGGCTAGATAGTAAATAATAAGACTTTGTGGGACATGGTCTCTGCAGTCACTCAATCTGCCACAGAAGAATGAAACCAGCCCTAGATAATATGTGCATGAATGTAATACACGCACGAATGAGTGTGTCCCAGTAAAAATGTATTTAGAAAAGTAGACAGCAGGCTGTAGTTGCCAATCCCTGCTCTCAATGGTTATTGTCATTCAGTATGCTTTCAGTTTTTTTCAAAAGAGAAACCTCAAATTTTCATTTATCTGTAATCTTTCTATTTTTAAACATGGGTAACTAATTTTAAAAGTTTGTATGAACAGTGTGGGCCAAAGAAAACATGTCAAAGGTCAGATTTGGCCAACTGATCAACTGTTTGCAGCCTTTACTTACTCCTTCATTAGTCTCATCCTTCCCACAACCAGTTACCTTCTTTCAAAATGAGTCCCAAATACAACATGTTTAAAATTGAATGTCTAAAATAAGTCTGAATTTCCCATCCCCCCCATCAGGATCCTTTTCCAGTAATTGTTTTAATGGTACTTACATCATCAAATTGTACATGCCGGATACCTATGAACAGTCTTTACATATCCCCCTCTTCTTTATCTATCATCGCCATATTTACTTAATTATATTCTAAGTATTTCTTCACTGTTAATTTCCCTGTATATATTTTTTGTTTGCCTGGAATACTATGATACTCTTTCTGATTCCACCTTTGCCCTCAATACTTCATTCTCAACATTGTAGTGAGAGTGATATTTTCATAATCAAATCTGATCTTGTCATTACTCTGAAACATATCAGTGACTTCTCACTGCCTTTAGGGTAACAGATGAAACCCTGGAGATCTATAGAATGTTGTGAAATCTGGCTTTTACTCATTATCCCAGCCTCATTTCACAGCTAACTCTTCTTCCATCTCTGTGCTCTAGTGTAGCAATTCTGAATGCTTTGGCATTAAAGGACCTACTCTAACTATAAAAATTATTAAAGACCCTAAAGGTGTTTCATGTATGTGGGTTGTGTCTACCAATAGTTACTATACTACAAGTTAAAACTGAGAAAAATTTTTAGTTATTAGCTAATTCATCTACAAATAGTTGACCAAATGTGGTGGTCCACACTTGTAATCCCAGTGTTTTGGGATGCCAAGGCGGGTGGGTCAGTTGAGCCCAGGAATTAGAGACTGGCCTGAGCAATACAGTGAGACCCATCTCTTAAAAGAAAAATAGAAATAAACAGTTAAAACCTGTTACATGTTACCATAGTATAATTTTTATTTTTAAAAAACCAGCTATTTTATTTAACAATAAAAAATTTTATTAAGAAGTATGGAATTGTTTTATACTTTTGCCAATCTGTTTAATCTCATAAATAGAAGATAACTATATTCTCACAACTGCTTCTGAATGCAACTTGATATGATATGTTGTTCTAGTTGACATGTATGAAGAAAATCCAGCGTCATACAGATATAAGTTGGAAAAGGAAGGAGTATTTTATACTCTTTTCAGGCCATTATGGCTATTCTTTGAAACAGCTCCAAAACTGAACAAGTCGTACTTTCTGAAAGATTAGGTACAATGTGGAATCTGAACCCACATCCATGAATTTTTATATATTAAAATCTATCAATCTTTTGGACAGTATTGGTTCACTAAGTTATGCAGATCTATATTGACACTTTACATTGTGCAATATTTTTAAATATTATAACTTTTCGTGTCATAACTGACCTTATCAGAAGTTCTAGGAAGCCATCAAGCTCTTGATGGTGGATAAAAGTTTTCCACAACTTGTAATTTCTGCCTGAAACTGTCTGCCAAATACCCAAGTTAGATAACATAGTTTGCCATTCAGTCATTCTTTCAGGGAAAATGGTGGTCTCTGAAACAAGTGGTAGGTTCAGCTCACAACTCAAATGATTACATGGTGGTTTTCCTCAAGATGACTATCTTTCTTTGGTATAAACAGAATTGTCTTATAAATATTTCCTATTTCATTAACCCTGAATATTAAAAAGGCATTTTGGCCAGGCACAGTGGCTCATACCTGTAATCCCAGCACTTGGGAGGCTGAGGCGGGTGGATCACGAAGTCAGGAGTTCAAGACTAGCCTGGCCAACGTTGTGAAACCCATCTCTATTAAAAATACAAAAATTAGCCGGGTGTGGTGGCATATGCCTATAGTCCCAGCTACTCAGGAGGCTGAGGCAGGAGAATCACTTGAACCCAGGAGGCAGAGGTTGCAGTGAGCCAAGATTGCGCAACTGCCCTCCAGCCTGGGTGACAGAGTGAGACTCTGTCTCAAAAGAAAAAACAAAGGCATTTCAAGGGTTGAAATTCAATGAAATTAATAATGTTTATGCTTCTTTAGAAATTTTAAAATAAAACTGGCTTTTTTTTTTTAATCAATAGTACATGATGGGGAAGAGTACAGTGACTGCTAGTAAGTTTAGTATCATTGTCTTGATTTGTGCTAAGTTGTTAGCAGTTTTACCATTACTTTTACAACATCACTGAAAATGTTGAGACAATGAAAAAGCTTAGTAACATCTAAATGTTATTTTGAAAGGCGTTTTCAACTTACAGTTTCCCAGGGGTTCATAGAGTAATTGAAGATCTTTACCTCTACTTACCTATAGAAACCTTGTATCAATTTATGTTTTATTTATTTAACAAACGCTTATATAGCACTTACGCTATGTCAGAGTTTTAAGTGCTTCATAAATATTTACATTTAATGCTCATTAATGTAGGTATTGCTAGCATTCCTTGTGAGAGGGGTACTGTCATTGCCCCCTCTTACATGTAAGGTAACTGAAGTAGAGAGGTTAAATAACTTACCCAGTATTACACAGATAGTAAGTGGCAGAACTGCAATTCACATTTTGTTTGTGAATGTTATATTGAATTATTTCTTCCTCTATGTGCATAGTGACTGCTTTTCCCCAGTGACTAGTTCAGAGCCTAGTACATGGAAGATATTCTATAAATATTTGTTGAATAAAATAAATAGAAGATAAATTGATGAACGAATAGAATTTATTTGAGTGTATGAAATGAGTGACTCTTCTAACTTAATTTTCTTCTAATACTTAATCAGTTGCCATGGTATCACTGGAGAAACAAATCTATGTTTTGTTCACTGACTGCAATATCACTATCATATTATCTTTTATTCTTATATATATTCTATTTCTGTATTTGCTCTTCTATTTTACTCCTCTGTTTATTTCTTTAAACTACAGTGTTTAAAATATTCTATCTCAGCTGGGCACAGTGGCTCACACCTTTAATCTCAGCACTTTGGGAAGGCCAGGTGGGCAGATCACTTGAGGTCAGGAGTTTGAGACCACCCTGACCAAAATGGAGAAACCCCGTTTCTCCTGAAAATACAAAATTAGCTGGGCATGGTGGCGCATGCCTGTAATCCCAGCTACTGGAGAGACTGAGGCAGGAAAAGCACTTGATCCCAGGAGATGGAGGTTACAGTCAGCCGAAATCACACCATTGCACTCCAGCCTGGGCTACAAGAATGAAACTCTGTCTCAGAAGAAAAAAATAAATAGCTTTATATTTGATATAAAAATTCTATATTTATATTAGATATATTTAGAGAGGTTAAGTTTCCATCTTTGCCTTCTCTACCCTGTTCTGATGTTTTTCCTATAGGTACAAATTTTTACTAGTTCTCCATTTATCCTTTTTTGTTTTTGTATTTGAAAATGTAACAAAATAGTGTATGTATTTATACCCCCTTTTTTCTTTATAAAAAAGTCACAAACTGTGTATGCTTATTTATATCTTGCTTTTTCTATTTAAGCTAATATATCCTGGTGGACACTTTATAGCAATATAGAAAAATCTTTGTCATTTTTCAAGAGTTGCATAGTACTCCATTGTATGTATCCACTATATGTTCAATCATTTCTGTATAGTAAGATATGTGAGATGTTATCAGTCTTTTGCTACCTCAATTAGTGCTTCAATGAATAGCCTTGTGCATGTATCATTTCATATATTTGTCATTATGCCTTTAGGAGATCATAGGAGGTTTTCAATCAGGGAAATGTTACGAAAGCATTGTTAGGAAGATTAAACTGGCAATGGAATACATATTTGGATGTGAGTAGGATTGGAATATTGAAAATTTAGAAGCCATAACTGTACTCTACACTGAGATGGTTGTGTGCCTAGAAATTTATTACAACAAGTATGTATGCTATAAAATGTTGTTCCTCCTCATCCTGATCTGTGTACTCATTGCCTGCTCATCCATGGATATATTGCTTTATCTTTATTGGCATCTCTGCTCTTGCATTTTTTGTCATCTTTCCCATCTTCTGACTCTTTGGATAGGATGTACTCATTTTCTCTGCATATTCTGAGCATTTATTTCCCTCCATTTGTTTCTCTTTGCAAATCATCTAAGAGTCAAATCCACTTGCTCCTTGAAGGCATGCTTTTCACTTTCATTAACTCTTACCTATTACAGAACTGCCTTTTTGAAAACGAAGGAAAATTTGCATTTCCAATGTCTTTCAGACATGAAGACTAGACCAGAGAGCAAGGATTCAACTTCATTGCAAGATTTTTCCAAAGCAGAATCATGCAAAGTTGCAATAATAGACCAACTGACAAGAAATAGTGTCTGTGACTCCAACTTGGAAGCAGCTCTTGAATGTGAAAATTGGTTAGAGAATCAGCAAGGAGATGGGGAGAGACATTTGAGAGAAATGTTCACTGACATGCATTCACTCTCTGAGGAAACAGACCATGAGCATGATGTGTATTGGAAAAGCTTCAATCGGAAGTCTGTTCTTATCACTGAAGACAGAGTTCCCAAAGGATCTTATGCCTTCCATACACTTGAAAAAAGATTGAAACAAAAATCAAACTTAATGAAAAAGCAGAGAACTTATAAAGAGAAAAAACCTCATAAATGTAATGATTGTGGTGAACTCTTCACCTACCATTCAGTGCTTATTCGACACCAGAGAGTCCATACTGGAGAGAAACCCTATACCTGCAATGAATGTGGGAAATCTTTTAGCCACAGAGCTAATTTAACTAAACACCAGAGAACTCATACTAGAATTCTCTTTGAATGCAACGAATGCAAGAAAACCTTTACAGAAAGTTCATCCCTTGCAACACATCAGAGAATTCATGTTGGAGAGAGACCTTATGAATGCAATGAATGTGGGAAAGGTTTTAATCGAAGTACACATCTTGTGCAGCATCAGTTGATTCATACTGGAGTGAAGCCTTATGAATGTAATGAATGTGATAAAGCTTTTATTCATTCATCAGCACTCATTAAACATCAAAGAACTCATACTGGAGAGAAACCTTATAAATGTCAAGAATGTGGGAAAGCCTTTAGCCATTGCTCATCCCTAACTAAGCATCAGAGAGTTCATACTGGAGAAAAACCATATGAATGCAGTGAATGTGGAAAAACATTTAGTCAGAGCACACATCTTGTTCAACATCAGAGAATTCATACTGGAGAGAAACCCTATGAGTGTAATGAATGTGGGAAAACCTTCAGCCGGAGCTCAAATTTTGCTAAACATCAAAGAATTCATATTGGAAAGAAACCATACAAATGTAATGAGTGTGGAAAAGCCTTCATTCATTCATCAGCTCTTATTCAACATCAGAGAACTCACACCGGGGAGAAACCCTTTAGATGTATTGAGTGTGGGAAAAGCTTTAAGTGCAGTTCATCTCTCATCAGACATCAAAGAGTTCACACTGAAGAGAAGCCCTAAAAAATTACTGAATGTGAAAAAATGTAAGTTGGTTTTATCACTATGTTAAATACTTCAGTGTTTAGGTGGAAGACCCATCCATAATATGCATGTGAGGACCAATTCTCTATGGACCTAATTTCACTTATAATACATAGTTTTGAGCCATAGACAGGTTCCTTATGTACATTAATTTGATAATTATAAAATCTAGGCAGCAATTTCAAATTTTTAACTCCAACCTCTCAAATAGCTATTTGTGGATATTCAAGAAGTCCCTGAGAGTGGGTAGCAGTACAAACATTGTGAATTCTAATTTTCCCCTCTCTGGGTTATGTCAGAGCTTTGTTGTAGCTTCTCGCTTTGTAAGGGAATTCTTACTGGGTAGGTTAGGCTGAGGGCTTATATCCTTATCAGGAAGACATAGTGTTGTTATTTATTACTCTGTGAGTCCCAAGTAGAGATCTAGATATACATATGGTGTAATTCCTCCAGACTGTCATTTCTTTTATATTAGCCATAAAAAACCAAAAAGGCAGGGTTGAAAGTCATTAGGATTCCCTTCCTCCCCCAATAAGCTGCTGTCCAATTTGATGACCATAACTAGGATGTCTAATATTTACAGATGATTCTAAGTTATGTTCACATGGATTATGTTCGTCATTGATTTGTATTATTGTTATCCCTCTACTATGGTAACCTTCTTTGATTTTCCATTTCCCTTGGAGTTTATGTGAAGTAACGAATGAGTAAAAATCTTAATGGCAGTTGTTGATCAAGTCCTTCTTTTCTTAACCTTGGCAGTAAATGAATCCTTGGTTTTCTATAATCAAAGTGTCAGGGAGATTTCATTTCTCTACTTCTGTAAGCTGTGTTGTGTCCGTTTGAGAAAAAGCTCCAGGGATATTGAGGGTCTGAAAAGTTACTGGGTTCAGTGTGTTATTATATTTAGGGTCCCAGTAAAGAAGAACTGAAGCACTGTGAGACACCAGGGCATACTTCCCTGTATGAGTGGAAAACAAGTACAGAAAATATTTCACAGGATAGTCCTCAGTTGACTTCCTTGAGAATATAAGCAGCTTCCCTTTATGAAGAAGTTGCCATTTCTCTGGCCTTAATATTTACCTGCTTTTTGTTGTTGTTTTAGTTCAGTCTCACACTGCTATAAAGAAATGCTTGAGACTGAGTAATTTATAAAGAAAAAATGTTTAATTAGCTAATGGTTCCATGGGCTGTACAGGAGGTATGACCGGGGAGGCCTCAGGAAGCATTTACTCATGGCAAAAGGCAGAGCCAGAGCAGGTATCTTCACAGGGATGGAGCAGGAGGAAGAGAGAGAGGGAAGGTGCTACACACATTTTAACCAAATCTCATGAGAACTCTATATCATGAGACAGCACTAGGGGGAATGGTGCTAAGATTCTTGAGAAACTACCTGCATGATCCAGTCACCTTGCACTAGGCCCCACCTCCAACACTGGGGATTACAATTCAACATGAGATTTGGGTGGGGAACACAGATCTAAACCATATCATTGTCATTCTCTATATCTTGGTTGGTCTTTATCTGAGACCCCTGAAGAAGGTAGACAAATCATGAAACCACAGTGACATAGTGGCATAAGTTACATTGGTGACCAAAGACTGGTGGGGGAATTGGAAACAATGCAAAAGGTCAAATAAATATTTAGCAAAACACTATACAAATGTCAGTGTTTTCTTATTCTATAAAATAATACATGTTGTGTGAAAATAAAACTATGAGAAATAGTAGCAAAATGTAATTAATCACAGATTTCTTCTATCTTAAATCCTGTCCTTCAAGATCAGTCTGTACCTCTGCCCCTTCAACATTATCTCTGTTAAGACTTCCTGTAATTCCCTCCCAGTAGACCTTAGTTTTGTGATTGGGGAAAATGAGGGAAGTAGAGTTTAAAGAAGTGCTAGTGGGGAGCATCATCAAGGATGAATGGATTATAAATCCAGCAGTGATGGAAATCATAGGAGACAAGAGTGAAAGGACTCTTCACAAAAGGATTTTTAAATGAACAAAAAACACATTTAAGGGGGTGGGTGGGAAGGCTTAGGGTCGGAGAGGTCAGAGTAGGAGAATGACTGGTTCAAGAAAATACAGGGGGCTGGGCATGGTGGCTCACGCCTGTAATCCCAGCACTTTGGGAGGCTGAGGCAGGTAGATCACCTGAGGTCAGGAATTCGAGACCAGCCTGACCAATAAGTTGAAACCCCATCTCTACTAAAAATACAAAAATTAGTCAGACATGGTGGCATGTACCTTTGGTCCCAGCAACTTAGGAGGTTGAGAAAGGAGAATTTCTTGAACCCAGGAGACAGATTGCAGTGAGCTGAGATCATGCCATTGCACTCCAGCCTGGCTGACAGAGCACGACTGTTACCAAAAAAAAAAAAAAGCAAGAAAAGGAACTCACCTCTTTTATCACCTTAGTCTTCAATACCAATGGTTTAGAACAGGAATTGACAATCTGTGGCATGGACTCATGGGCCAATTCTGGCCCACCACCTATTTCTCAGAACATTTTATTGGAATTCAGTTACACTCACTCATTTACATGTTGTCTTTGACTGCTTTTGTGTCCTATGGCAGAATTGAGAAGCTACAGCAGAGATAGTGCCTTTGGGCTTTAATATCATAAAAAGGGCAGCTCATAAACAACAGAAAATTACTTCCGACAGTTTTGGAGGCTGGGAAGTCCAAGATCAAGGTGCCAAAAGATTTAGGGTCTAGTGAAGGTCTGCTTCTTGGTTAAATTACTTTCCACTGTGTCTTCTCATGGTAGAAGGGGAGAGCTCGGGTATCTTCAGCCCCTTATAAGGGCACTAATCCCATTCATGAGAGCTCTACCCTTATGACCTAATCACCTCCAAAAGGCCACATTTCCTAATATCATCAAAGAATTAAGTTTCATCATATAACTTTGGTAGAGATATAGCCCATAGTAGGTTGTATGTCTCCAAAAGCCTAAAATATTTACTATTTTGCTGTTTACAGAAAATATTTGCTGATCTCTGTTCTAGAGCATTCATCAAGAAGTGGGATAGAAGGTTTAAACCAGTCAGAGAAATTAGGTGGAATGGAAAAATTGAACTTATCGAGAGATAATTGGGGTCAGAAAAATAAAAGAGATGGGAAATGACATATCAAAATACTCCTCACTCTAAGATGTTACTATGTATGAGAATTCAAGTTATTGAAATTTGCCAAATTCTTGAGTGAAAAGAAATTCATTTGAGGCCCAAAATTTGACTAAGGAAAGAAGACCAACATGGGCTTTCCAGAGTTGAGTATGAAGTCTGCCACTCCCACTAGGCAGTCATGTGACTTTGAAAAACTCTCTACTCTGAGTCTCAGTTTCTTTATCTGTATTAGTTTCAACAAAGGGAGGATATCATTGGCCTCTAATAAGTTTGTCATAAGGATTAAAGGAACTGGCAGACAATAAGAGTCCCCCACTCCTACTCGGTGCTCTCTTTCTCTCTCCTTGTCTCCACAGAGAAGTGGCTGAGCATGCATCAGTAGAAGTTACTTAAGGGTGGGTGTGTTTTCCACATCTTTTGTTTATCCATGAAGAACTGTGATCATCCTGTTCTCTGGTTTACCGTGAAGATGGGATTTTACTTCTTTCTGCTCTTGCGTCCATCTGGTGCTGTTCTCTACACAGCCTCCTTGAGACCTTCCAGAACCTTTTTTTTTTCCTACTGAGTATCACCTAACCAGTAGCTATCTGGGATGGTTCCAGAGGCTGAAGTTTGCAGTTGAATAGCATTTTAAATAGTGTTAAAGGGCTTGGGATTTCTGGCCCTTTGCATGTCAGTATTTGTCCTTTTTATGCCTGATGTTTAACCTGCCGTATGGCAACATGAATCATGGACATTTTAATGTTACACATTTCAAATGTTTTTGGTTATCTGTGAACTAAATGTGCTCTTATTGGCTCACTTGTCAATAAAGATATTTGTATATGTATTGTCCAAAACTTTTGTTAATTGCTTTTAAATTTTTCTTTTTTAAGCATATTTTAAAACCAACCTAAAATGTAATAAAGGACCAACCATAAAATATCTCCATATCATTCAGGATACCAATCCCATTTCTAGTTGTTCATCTGGCTTCACAAATTCTGGAAAGATGGGATGGGAGATAGCCTCAGCAGCCCAGGTATCTGCAAGAAGGTTAAGCAGTAGAGGAAGGTAGTGTCTAATAAGTAGTGAGTGCTGAGTTCCCAGGCCAGGTATAAGCACCACTCAGTAGGGCTAATTGAGGGGGAAGGGAGGAACGAAATTTGTATAAAAAACACACTTAAGTCTGGGCGCGGTGGCTCACGCCTGTAATCCCAGCACTTTGGGAGGCCGAGGCGGGTGGATCACGAGGTCAAGAGATCGGGACCATCCTGGTCAACGTGGTGAAACCCCGTCTCTACTAAAAATACAAAAACTTAGCTGGGCATGATGGCGTGTGCCTGTAATTTCAGGTACTCAGGAGGCTGAAGCAGGAGAATTGCCTGAACCCAGGAGGTGGAAGTTGCTGTGAGCGGAGATCGCGCCATTGTACTCCAGCCTGGGTAACAAGCAAAACTCCGTCTCAAAAAAAAATAAAAGGAAGAGAAGGAGAAAAAGAAATGGGCCACTGAATAATCAGGAGACCTAGGACTCCTGGAACTCCACTTCCTGACAACTTGTGGGTTCAGTCAGTGCAGCCAACCCCTGCCAAATTCCAAGGAAGGAGACTTAGCAGAGTATAGCTGTTACCCTTTTATCTCTCCAATACCCTTCTTCAAGATCTCTGGCAGGGAAAATGGGCCATAAAAGCATTAAACAGATAATCTGTTAATTGAGGGCCTTAATTGGCCCAAGCCTGGGCCAAGTGAGACCAAGGTGTGTGCTGTTCAGAGCCAACTGGGGAAATGGGATCTGGAGAGCCAGTGTTGGATTTGATTGGGTGACTCTGCCATCTAGATCAGGAAATAAATGTCCCTGGGAATGAATGGTTTAGATATTTTGTCTTCCAGAAACTTCCAGAACCTAATGCCAAGGGGAGAGGAATAGGAGAGCCTAAATAGCAGAGCTCTGTAGATGTGGAGGGGTCCTTGGGCTGATGGGTGGGTGTGGGGTACTCCCTTGGGAGGGAGGAAAAGGCAGGTTGGCTTCCCGGTTGGGGCTCCCCTCCTGCTCCAGCAGAGCACACTCTTCCACCCCAGTTGCCCTGAATCTCACTCTGATCTTTTCCTCCTTCCTCCTTTTCCACTCCTCCTCCTCCCTCTTCTCCCAGAATGTCTCTCCCTCCAGGCTGGGCTACCTCACCCCCTCCCTTCCCCTTTCCTGTAACTGAAGCTGTTGTTGGGAGTTGGAGGAGCTGGGCTGGTTTGAAAGGAGGCCCTGCTGCTTTTCAGGGAGGAATTGAAACCGTGGAGCTGGGGGTGAGAGGAGGCAGCAGAGCGGGAGGGGGTGGCTTAAGAAATCAAAGCGGCTGCAACTCCATCTGGGAAACCAACTTTGATTTACTAGCAAGGACCTAGCTCTCCCACTACCCCCACCCTTGCCCACTCCCCCTCCTTCCCTGGACTTTGCTTTGTGGTGACAACTGGGGGATGAAGGGCGGACCCCCTCCCAACCTGAAAGCCTGCTCTTGCTCTGGGAGGATCAGCCTAGAGGAGGAAGGCATGGGGGACCCTGCTCAGTCAGGTTGCAGTGTGGCTGAAGGGGGCCCAACATCTCAGGAACCTGGGAGGGGAATGGATACTCCTGGGAAGGAGGAAAGCCTATTGGCCTGGCCCAGGCAGACTCAGCCCTGCTCTGGCTTGGGGTCCAGCCCCTTCCTGAGATGTGGGGCTGGGATGGGGCACAGAGGGAGACGGCCAGGGCTTTTTCATTTATCTATAACCTTCCCCTCAACTGGGGGACTTGGGGGCCAGGGCTGCCTAGGAAGAGCCAAGAAAAGAAAATGACTGAGAAGGAAAATCTATTGTAATAGACTATTTTGTGTTGAAATTCAGTGTGAGCTATGGAGGACACTGGGTTCTGGTGGGGACCTGAGCCATTTTGGGTGGAAGTGCTACCTTTCTCCTCCCTTCCTCTCTTGTCCTCTCTGTTTCACTTTTCTTCTCCTCTATCTAATTCTTAAACCCCTCAAAGTTGAAGAGGCTCTGTAACCAAAACCCTGCAATTGAAATAGGATCCTGAAGGTCCTAAACCCGAGGGCCAGAGTGGAAATTCACAACAAAGTGAGTCATAACTTCAGGAAACGCTTATGCATTTCCCTGTTGTCAGCTGACTCCATCCATTCCTCCTTGGTGTGGTGGTGAAAGTTTAAACCCCTGGGCTCCTGGGTTCTAGGCAGAGCCCCCTTCTTCTGAGCCTCCATCACAGCAGCATTTTTCAGGGTTCAGCATCCAACTTTCAGGACTAGCTCTTAGGAGAGAAAGGGACTAATTCGGCACAAATCTAATCTTTTCTGAGCTCACAGCAGTGTCTGGGACTGCCACATCAGAGCTCCTACCCAAGGACAAAGTTTCTGAAAGCTGAGTCCACATGCTTCAGGATCATGGCAGGAGGGGCAATGGGACCTGGGGTTTACCTGTTAGAAATACAGATTCCTGGGCCCTGCCCACTGATCCAAATATATCATCCCCAAGTGATTCATATGCACACTTATAAAGCTATCTGCCTTCCAAACTTCCAGACCATTCAGTTAGCTTTCAGAGCCCCCTAGTTACTTTTTTTTTTTCCAGACCGGGTCTTGTTCTGTCACCCAGGCTGGAGTATAGTGGCACAATCATAGCTCACTGCAGCCTCAAACTCCTGGGCTCAAGAGATCCTCCCACCATTCCCACCTCCTTCCTGTACTGCAGAGGCTGGAAGCCAAAAGCCTCCTCTCTCAGCTTCCCTTGCAGCTAGAGCTCTGGATGCAAAATGTACTCATTTGAGATTTGGAAGGTGGAAGGGCAAATGAGGTCATGTTCTTGCTGCTGTGGGCTATTTCTGCTGGCACGCAAGGTCTTGGAGATGGGGTTTGTCCTACAGCAGCACCCAGTGTCCAGTCTCTGTGACAGCAGTAGCAGCAGTGGCACTGATCCCTAGGTGCAGTTACCCTGATTTAGTTCCAATGGCAGCCTCTTTATTTCTTTTCTTTTTTTATTTCTTTTTTGAGACAGAGTTTCACTCTGTCCCCCAGGCTGAAATGCAGTGGTGCGTACTTGGCTCACTGCAACTTCCCCCTCCTGGGCTCAAGCGACTGTCTTGTTTCAGCTTCCTGAGTAGCTGGGATTATCGGTGGGCACCATCACACCCAGCTAATTTTTTATGTTTAGTAGAGACAGGATTTTGTCATGTTGGTCACGGTGGTCTCAAACTCCTGGCCTCAAGTGATCCGCCCACCTCGGCCTCCCAAAGTGCTGGGATTACAGGCATGAGCCAAGGCGCCCAGCCAACTGCAGCCTCTTGACCTCCTACCTGCTTGTGGCAGAGGTAGCAGCTTCTACTGGAGGTCATTTCTGTGGCTTTGAGACAAAGTTTACTCCTCCAGCCCATCCAACAGTTTCACAAGCACCTAGTTTCCTGTTGTCTTAGTCTGCTTGGGCTGCCATAACAAAATACTGTAGATCGAGTGGCTTAAATGACAGAAATTTATTTTCTCATAGTTCTGGAAGCTGGAAGTCTGAGGTCAGGATGCCAGGATGGTTGGGTTCTGGCTACGGCTTTCTTCCTGGCTTGTAGATGGCCACCTTTTCCGTGTTCACATGGCCTTGCCTTGGTATATGTAGGTTGGGGGGGGGAGAGATTTCTCTCTGTTCCCCTTATAAGGCTGCCAATCCTATCAGATTGGAGGGGGGACCCTTCCAACCTCATTGAACATTAATTACCTCCTAAGACCTCTATCTCGAAATACAATCACATTGAGACTTTGGGTTTTAACATATGAAATTTGTGGGACCAGGCCGGGCGCGGTGGCTCAAGCCTGTAATCCCAGCACTTTGGGAGGCCAAGGCGGGTGGATCACGAGGTCAAGAGATCGAGACCATCCTGGTCAGTATGGTGAAACCCCGTCTCTACTAAAAATACAAAAAATTGGCTGGGCATGATGGCGCGTGCCTGTAATCCCAGCTACTCAGGAGGCTGAGGCAGGAGAATTGCCTGAATCCAGGAAGAGGAGTTTGCGGTAAGCCGAGATCGCGCCATTGCACTCCAGCCTGGGTAACAAGAGGGTAAAAAAAAATTTGTGGGACCACAGTTTAGTTTGGTCTATGGCATCTGTATTGAATCTTTTTTTTGAGACGGAGTCTTACTCTGTTACCCATGCTGGAATGCAGTGTTACACTCTTGGCTCACTGCAGCCTAGACCTCCCATGATCAAGCAATTCTCCCTTTTGGCCTCCCTAGTAGCTAGGAGCACAGACACCCACTATCATGCTGAGCTAATTTTTTCTATTTTGGGTAGAGATAGGGTGTCACCATGTTGCCCAGGTTGGTCTGGAACTCCTGAGCTCAAGCGATCCATCCACCTCGGCCTCCCAGCGTGTTGGGATTACAGGCATGAGCCACAGTACCTGGCCTGAATCTCTTTTTCGATTAAACACCTAGAGCCATTCCACCACTGTAAATCCTTGAAGTTCCCTTCTCTGTGGTGCTTCCCTGATACCACTCCCATCCTTTCTCTGAGTTGATGTTTATCTTACACCATTCAGCATGTGGCATGTGTTACCTACATATGTCTAACTATTGCCTCCTCACCCCCCAGCAAGACAATCTCCTGAGAGCAGAGTCTGTGTCTTGGGTTTTGTGCATATCCGAGTGCCTTGTGTGTCATAGGCACTCAAGAAAATTGTTAAATGAATCAAGGCTCTCTGTAAATACGGCAAGGTCTGAACTCCCTGGGCTGGGTAATCTAGAGACACAAACATCCTGCCCTGGACAGCGAGCCCAATTCTCTTCCTCATACATTCTGCCCCACCTCTGGAACCCACACTTCGGAGGGG